GGAGAGACTTACGTCCGAGCTGGGGTCCGGAGCCGGCAGCCTCGTGGTGGACGGCGGGGGCCGCGGCTGCGTCCGGGCGGAGGGTGTGGCCAGGAGAGCGCTGCGGGCGGACGGGCGGGGACCCAGACGGGCTCTGTCATTTCCTCTCGGGTTTCCTGGCTTCAGAGCCCAGGGTGGGAGCAGGAGGGGGAGACGCTCGGGGTGATGGGGAGGGCGCAGGGGTGAGGCGCTGGGCAGTGGGCTCCCCCCACCCGGCCGGGGGCTGGCGGGTCTTGGCGGAGTGGGGCTTTGNAAGGGTCCCTTAGGGTCGCCAGGGGAGAAGGGAAGGGCCACAGCGGAGGGGGAGTGGAGGGAGGTGAGGATAAGAGGAGGAGGCCCTGGGGAAGGGGGAGAAGGGCGGGCAGCGCTGGGGACTTGGGCCAGAGCTCCCCCAGGCTCACTTTTGCCCCTCCCCCGTTTTGTGCCCACAGATGAGAACACGCAGACAGAACAGGGGGAAAAACCAAATGCACATTTATTAAGCTCAAGACATAGACACCGAGGGTGCAGGGGAACAGATCTCCGGAGAGGAGACAAGGAGGTGCAGGGGGGCAGTACACGGGGATTCCGGGCTGCCGGGGGTGGACTCCCCGACTCCAGGTACTGGAGCCCCGAGTGCCTGGATCTGGGGTGCAGCAGGGCTCTTTGGGGGGTCGTCAGTGCCAAGGCCTGGGGAGGGGCAGCAGGGTGCAGCGGCTCCAGCCTCGGGGTGGGTGGGGCGGCTCATTCCAGGGAGCGCTCCCAGGCGCAAGGCTGGGGTCCCCACCGCCTCCACCGGGTCCTCAGGCTCCCACACTCAGGCAGGGACAGCAGTGGAGGTGCTGGAGGCTGGTTTTACACTCCGCCACCTCCTGGAGCTGGAGAGAGAGAGAGAGAGAGACGATCAGCGACTAGAAGGGTGGAAGCAACCCCCCTTCCACCCAGAGCCAGTGAGCTCTCCGTCCCCACCATGGAATCCAGAACCCCAAGAGCTGACATCCTTGAGTTAGCACTAAGGAGTTGTCTTGCCTCCCCACTCACTAATGTGTGGTCCAAATAGGGACACCTGTGTGTCTTTGTCCTGCCCCATAGGACACTGTCATAGAGGGGAACACACCTGTGAGGAGGCTGAGACCGCCCCTGGCCCAGCTTGGGCTTTTCTGGGCCTTCCCCCTGTCAGAAACGGGGTCTCCATCTCCCCCCTATGCTCCCAGCCTCCTCCTGCACTGCCCTCCCCACACCCAGCCACCGAACATTGGGACACAACAGGAACGCCCCTGTTTCCCACCTACTTGGGACCATCACTCAACTGGAGTGGGTCAGAATCCTGTACATGTTCTTAGACGGTGTCCTAGGTGTCAGGGCCTCCCCCCTCCAATCATCCGCAAAGTGTCCCCTTAATGTTTTAAAATCTCATTAAAAGAACATGAGACCGGCCGGGGTGGCTCAGAGGTTGAGCATCAACCTATGATCCAGGAAATCATGGTTGGGGCAGAGGCCCTGGGTTCCGGCTCAGCCCCCAACAGGGCGCGTGCAGGAGGCCACCTATCAATGACTCTCGTCACTGATGTTTCTCTCTCTCCCCTTCTCCCTTCCTCTCTCTGAAATCAAGAAAGACATATTTAAAAATTAAAATCAATCAATCAAAATTTTAAAATTTAAATTTAAAAAAGAACATGAAACAAAACACATGAAATTCTCCACCAAATCCCCGCAAATATTGAGCACCCCAAAGCCCACTTTTTTAGTTACAAGAACTTTGCAAGAGGCAGAGAGATTCCCATCTGATTCCCACCTGTCCTCTGGAGAGGACACAGTTCCACTAAAAACAGGTCGAGAGATATTTTTACGTAAGTAAAATTAACAGCCCCAAGGAGACACAATCTTTCATCTACATGCTTGTCCCCCTCCTACAGCCTCCCTCTCTCTCCATCCTCCTTTACACCTCCCACCCTCTTGCACCCACTCTCCCCTCTTACACCCCCTCCCCTCTGCACCCACCCCTCCTACATCCC